TAATTTTTAAAAAATTTGGTTGAATTGATTTTGAGCAGGATTTTGAGTTTGTATTAAAATAATATTTAAAATAAAATGATTAGATATAATTTGATGTAATAGTAGGAGATGGGTGATTATTAGGTAAAACTTGTGTGGATTGATGGATAGTGAATTAATGTTGATGTGATGTATAAGGATAATTGTTTGATATTACTTAATTATATTGATTATATTAAAAATAGTAGAGCTAAATTAAGTTTGAGTTAGATATTTTAGTTAAGAAAAAAGTGGTCTGTTAAAATAGATTGATAAATTGGTGTCCAAACACCACCTTGGGTGTTGGGTGTGTCAATTCATAATCAATTCTCATACTCAAAATCAAACTCAACTTTAACTAAATTTCACTATTCTCAATATATTCAGTATTATTTAATAATATCAAATGATCACCATTTCACATCATTTCTTTACTATTTTACATTAAATCAACTAAATTATTTTATTTTAAATATTATTTTATACTAACTTAAATTCCACTAACTACACATACCACTTTTTTAAAATTAACCCTAATAACAAAAAAAAAAACCTAATTGTCGGTAAAATCACGATCTTGCAATTTTTACCGTTTTAACCAAACTTTTGGGATTTAGCAAGAATAACCTAACCTTGTCCCATTTTTACAACTCGTTTTGAATGAAAACATTTTTATCCAAGCACGAAGATGACCCAATTTGTCACTCACAATTATTATTATTATTATTATTATTATTATTATTATTATTATTATTATTATTATTATTATTATTATTATTATTATTATTATTATTATTAGTAGTATCTTCTTTTGTGCAGAGGTGCAAATTAATTGGATACCAAAAGCAAGAGAAATTAAGATAATACTTATTAAATAGTAGCCATTACCCCAATTGAAGGGCCACTAGACTTGAAGTAATAGTACATCACAACTATAGTTTGCTTGAATTTATAAAACTGATTAATTAATAGATTTTTGGGTGTGGTGTTTCATGAGTTGTAGATGTCTTTTGTTTTGTTGTTAGTTTTAGTATGGACCGATGTGGTCATTTAAGGGAAATACATGGTGTTTTCCCCCTTATTTGTTTCCGGTCAAGGCATGACTTGATTGGAGATTTAGTTGTAACACGTTGGTTACCGATTATTGTAAAATTGAGTTTCATTTTAATGAATTTATTGCATGAAAAAAAAGATTAATTAATAGACTTGTGACTGACTTGTATTTACTTCATTACACTGCGTAAGATATAGATTTTTTTTTTCTTTTCTTTTTTTTTTTCTTTTTCTTTTTTACGTAAATTGTGTTTGGTAAGTACCATAATAATTTACAACTTATTTGGTTAAGAGTAAAATGCATTTTTCGTCCTGTATGTTTACCCCTCCAAACATTTTAGTCCTCTTCGAATTGCGTTTTTTATTTTCGTCTCGTATGTTTGAAAAAAAGTTATAAAAAGGTCTTTTTCATACATAAGGGAAGAAATTGGAACACCTTATTGCAAAACATAAAGGACCTTTTTATTGCGAAAAGGACCTTTCTGTAACCTTTTTTCAAACATACGGGACGAAAATCAAAAACGAAATTCGAAGAGGACTAAAATGTTTAGAGGGGTAAACATACAGGACGAAAAATATATTTGTCTTTGGTTAATTTATAAACTTTTTGTATCCAAATAAGCTTAGTTCATAGGATTAATATTTTAAAAGCTCGAGCATTCTCATAAGCTTTCTTGGCTAACTTTTCAAGTAAGTCCGCTGAAATTTTTATTTCAGTTTGTTTATCAACTAATTTTATAACCGAAACACTTTTATCATATAAACTAGTTTTTTAGCCATAAATTATAAGTTATAAGCTCAAAATTCACTTATAAGTTATCAACTAACTTATCAGCTATCAACTAGCTTATCACTAAGTCTTATAGTTTAGCGTGAAATATGATGCTTACAGAGGTATTTTAAAACACAATTTAATTTTGATTGTTTATGTTGCAGATACTTTGTTGCAGCACTCAGAGTTGCAGGCTTGTATAGCATTATTACCACCCTCTTCTCCTTCTATGCTCTCCTCAAACCAGGCTGCTGCCCAAAACTGCTGTCCCATCTCGTCATATTCGATGATGTAAGCCCGCATAATCTAAGTTAAATGTCATACAAAATATGCAACAACTTTTGCTAGCTGTATGTTATTAGAATATTCACTTGTGAGTTGTCTCACATCGTTTATATTGAAAAAATAGGCCTAATTTATAAGTCTAGTGGGCTACTCCTCCTTCCACCAATTAGTTTTGGAGTGAAACATCACTTGAGTTTTATCTGAGCTTTCCCTGTCTTTGTGCGCTTCATTTGCGTAGGACCACACTCACTTTTCCCACCTTTTCTTACACCTGTCAGGAAATCAAAAAAGTAACAAAAAGCATTAGAACTAGTTAGTACAACTTAAATAATACCCTTTACGCCTTGATATTTTTGGGCTTTCTATGTCGTAATAATAGAAGACTTTAAGAAATGAGTATCTATATGTACCTCATTTTAAAGGTATTATTAAATGGGCTGACTTTTTTTTTTTTTTTAACAAAAATTTTCAGCTACTGTTGGGATTTGGGGCTGCTGCAACGGGATCAGCGGGGGCAGTGGCTTATATAGGTCTACAGGGGAACACACATGTTGGTTGGAAAAAGATTTGCAACATTTACGATGAGTTTTGCAAGCACGTTGGAGCATCGGTTTTCGTCTCCTTGTTCGCCTCAATCGTCCTGGTTTTCTTGATTTTGCTCTCTGTTTATGCCCTCTTCCAGAAAATCCCAAAATAGAGGTGCCAATAGTTAGTAGCAGGGTGTGAATGAATTTCCACATATGGGGCTCCTAGTCTTGTTTGTGTATTTTGTGAGTATGGGATGTCATTTTTGTATAGAGTGTGCACATGTGTGTGGATATGGAAAAAATCCTTCTATTGGATCAAATGAATGTACAAATAGTATTTGATCTGTGAATTTGTTAGTGTATTATGTGATTGGATAAGTGCCTTCTCATTCAGTTTTTGTGCTCGTATGTAACTCTTCATTGATGTGATTAAGCCATTTGTTTGTTTAGATTCTTGAAGCCTAATGTTATTTTTTTTTTCCACAAAAATTAACAAGTTGATGAGAAAGTAATGGTTACATCATTTAGTTATTAGAAATTTTGATTGGAATTCACAAAATAAAAATGAAAAAGTATAAAAAAAATAGATAGAGTGATGCTAGAATTTGCATATAAGCAGGGGCGGAGGTACATTGTAAAGTACCTGGGCTGTAGTCCGGGGAAAATTTGGAACAACTTAGGATATTTATATACAAAATGACGCAAATTTTTATTGTAGCCCACCTCTTTTCACAGCCACGTAGTCCAAGCATTTAAAAAATTAAAATAAGACCAATAAGACAACATCCTATATTCGAATTACATTTAAGTAACTATTGAAATTGTTCAATTGATGAGTCTAATAATTAAAAGTTAAACGTTGTTTGAATACTCTATTTTTCTTTTGGGAAAACTTTGTGAGAAACCTATTTTATGGAAATATATTGTGAAAAAGAATGTTAACTTTTTCTTAGTTTAGGTATAAGTATTCTTTTGTTCGTATTTTATACATATCTTATGAGTTAAATTTAATATTAATAATTTTTTGATAATCTATAAATAGATATTCATATTGAATGTAAAAAAATAAATTTATGCTATTTATTAACTATTATTATCAAATAAACACAACAAAAAAAATAATGAAATTTTAATAGAAAATTCCAACAATAATAAATTTTAATGAAATTAAAACGACAATTCCAATGGACATTAAATTGCTATTATTTTCGTTGAAATTTTTCATTTGGTTCAATAGATATTCCAACAAGTAATCCGTTAGAATGAATTTTTTATTAGAATTTTCGTTTGTACCGTTTCAATAGAAACTATATATATATATCATTAGAATATCCATTGAATATGTTATCGTGGAATTTTTCGTTGAAATATGACATTTTTTAGTGATGAGCTATTTTAGCATAAAAAGTGTTATTTTAGGGTTAATTTAATAAATATAATTTCACGATATACATATTATTTTTTATCCACAAAAATTACATTTTTAAATTTAGTTATTAATTTATTCTTTTCACATATAGTACATAGCTGTCTTTTTATGTGTTTTATTTTTATTAATAGTAAATTAAAAATTAAAAGATTCATAAGTTGAAATACTAAATCATGCTAGTAAAAAATAGTTTAAAAAATAATATTTTTTTAATCTAAATAATTCAAGCCCGGGTAGATTTCAAATTCTGGCTTCGCCCCTGCATATAAGTCGGTCAAATTGTCCTGGTACTTAAGGTTGTCAACAAATAGTCTCCTGCAACCTTATAAGATAGTTCTTGTACAACCTGACAATATGTATACTCTCATCTTAACTATTAAACTAGCCAAAAGTTTAATCTCAACCCTATTGTTGACATCCGAGTTGGTAAGCATGGGTCAAAGATACGAAACCCTACGGTAAAATGAATTAGCGATTAAGTAATCCTAGAAAGCAGGGCTCACTGGCCAGCCTCGTCGAATAAGATGATTAGCTCGGCTTCATCAGTCAATGATAGACAACTCGGACTCAAGGACCAACAGACAAAAAAGCAACAAGTAGGAGCAAAGTCCGAGCTCATAACCATAAAGAAGATTAGAGTCCAGAGTAATAAAGGAGAAAACAAATTGAAGTCACGACACAAGTCCGACCTCAAAGATCTCCGAGGGCGAGACCCCGAGGTGCACTCATTATCAGGAAAAAATAAAATAAGACCACTTGCCCCTAGGGTGGCATGTCCATGTTAAGGGCATGTCTATCAGCATTTAATGGTCGGTAATAATCATTTAGAGTCAACCACGCTTCATTATATGCCCGTCATTCTAATTTAATGTATAACATGGCTCGGTGAACAGTAAAAGAGTGGCAGCCAAGTATGCCTAGCTATAAATAGTCCTAGGTTTTATTTATGACATGCATGCAAGAAAAAACAACAAAAAAAAATTGTACAAAAACCAATCATTCGCAATAAATTCAGGCAACACCGCGTAATGGTCCGACCTGGAAGGCCAACCTCAATTCACATCTAATTCTATTTTTATCGTTAAATCTCGCTTATTTCACGTTTATCTACCAAATCACTCAGTTGATTATTGATTAACCATTTATACAAACTACATATCAACAATTTGGCGCTAGAAGGAAGGCTCGATAATATGTTTGGAGTCAATTTTCGAACTTGTTAACACACATTGAAAACCCTATTTTCCTTTTTTGGCAGGAACAATCGATGGAAACATCCCTGTCGGAAAGCCAAGAAGGCAACTCTCAGACAGTAGTGGACTTTAAAGCGATATTCGAAAACCCTGAGTTTCTAAAGGGGATGGCGAAACCTCGTACCACAAATCGTGTTGTCGACGTCGCATGCGCCACCCTCACAGGCGGGGGAAATACTCAAAACGCCAGCAAAGAAGGACGCAAACCCCTCCAGAAACAAAGGAAGAGGTCAGCTATTGGCTGTTGCACAAAGCTATAATTGTTGTCCCGGATGACGCGACGATAGAACATAAAGAGAAGGCCGTGGATCCTGCGCGAACAAAATATACCAACGAAAGTTGACCCGCCCCACGACGTAAGGAAGATCCCCCAGAATTTATCCATCGTCAATTGTCTCGAAGAAAAAGGAGTCGAATGAGACCACCGACAGAAAATACAGAAGGATCGATCTGCTAGACGCGAGACAGAAGACGTCGCGATCCTCAGAAAAAGGATACCTGAACCTGAAACCCAGCAGCACCACAGGGTGGAGTCGTCGCCACCACACCCGCTGCTCCTCGACGGTTGGGTGATTGATCTAGTGTCACCACTGTCGGCCAAAATCCTATACAACCCACTATCAGGAAAAATTAAGATACCCAGATTAGACTCTACGAAGGACGCTCAGATACAGATGCACACATCGGCTTGCACGTGTCATGGATGGACCTGCACGGGGCCAGTGACGCCCTCAGATGTCGCATGTTCTCTCTCACCCTGGGGACCTGGGCGCAAAGGTGGTAGCACTCCCTATACCCCGACTCAATTACGACTTTGGGCCAACTCATGTCGGCCTCTCGGTCACCAACGGTATCCAGGGGGCCGAGGAATGTCTGAAGCACTATATTGATAGACATAACGATCGAGTTCAAAACATGGAGCCTTGCCATCCCGAGACATTATTAATATCAGCTTAGGCTAGTCTGAGACCAAATTCTATGTTTAGGTGGTCGCTATACCAAATAAGCCACCCACCTACCAGGACTTTCTAGCAAAGGCCCAACAACACATCATGGCGAAGGAGTCAATGTCCGTGCCATCCTTCAGAACATCGGCCCTGAAGGATAAGGAGGTCAAGCTGCCAAAAGACAAGTGTTGGGT